TGGCCCTCAGCCAGGGTCAACCCACGACAGAAGCCAAATGCTGTTCAGCTGGTGCTGTGAGCAAGAATCTGCAATGTCTGTGTGAGCTGGACAGTGAAGGGTCAGTGATGGAGAATCTCGAGAGCCGGAAATCTGATGCTTTAGAGATTAAATTCCCCCTTTTTGGGCAGCTGACACCTTCTGCAGCAGCTTCTGCTACAGATGCTCTAGGGGAGTCCCCGCACCATGTGAAGGTGAAGGCTGGTCTCTTTGCTGTGGTTGGCCTGGGGGATCCTGCAGGCATGCCCCAGGGTATAAGGAGCCTGATGAATCTGGCTCAGAGCATCTTGGCTGCTACAGGATCGATTTGAAGTAGAAGTGCTTAAACTAGCACTGGGTTTGTTTTTCATCTGGTGAGTCTTCCATCAGATAACAAACCAAGAAGCTTGGTGGCAGGAATTTGGGGTTTAGTCATGCTTTTGTTGTGTGGTTGCAGTGGAACAGAGCTGAGCAAATGGACTCCTGTGTGAGTGCTGCTGCTGAGTGCAGTTTTGTTAGATTCTTCTCAAGGTATGGCTCTTATGGGAATCATGGGGAGAGGTGAATCTAAAGAGGTACTGACATGAGGAGAAAAACTGAGCTTGTGTCTGCATTGTGATACTCTTCTATTAGTTATGAAGACCTAAAACAGAGCAATGGTGGTGACTTGGATGCACTGCTTCCAAAACAGCATCACGCTTTAGAGTTGAGCCCTGATCTGGGGAGTGGTGGCTAAAGCTGTGATGAACCCCTGACCTTCCTTTCTTTTTTTTCTTTCCAAATCAGAGTATAATACAAATGGCTGAAACAGCAGCATGTTAAATGTGCTCTAGCCCATTTTATGGCACTTGTTGGTTCATGTTCAACAGTGGTAAGCCTCCCTAAAGCCAGTCAAGCCTCAAAGACTTGCTCACCTTTGCTGGGATGTCAGGTGAGAATCTTCCTGCACAGGAGGGAAGCAAGGGACTATCCCTTGCCACTAGCTGTTGGCCGCTCTGCGGTGTTGGTCATTTGTGCAGCAGGGATGCTCTTGCTGCTCAGGAATCTGAGCTGCAGCATGTGGGTGTGTAGCATGGAGGCCATGTGTCAGATCCTGTGTAGCCAGCTGTGAGCCACAGCTGCCCTAGCTGTACATGCTGAACCTCTCCAAGCTGAGCCATGCAGCCCAATGCTTGCTACTGTCCTTTGTAAGCCTGTGCTCAGCTCCAGGACCCTCCTGTGGCTGTGATTCCTGCCCCTACCTTTCCAAATCAGAACTCAACTCTACTCCTTATCCTCCCCTACACTTCAAGTCTTTCCAATGGGTTTCCATGCTCTCCAACCCAAGATCCTAATCCCATGTGCTACCCTATACTTGGTTATCTACCTACTCATCAGCTATGCCAGCTGCAAAGGCTCTTGGAATGAGAGGGTTTGGGGATGTGCCACACCTGGGAGTGAAATTTGTTTACTTTTCCTGGGGCTTCGGGCTCAAAGCAATGAACAGTTTGTCTTCTGCTACTGTAAAATGTGTGTCAGCATGACTGATATTTCATATTTTAAAAAATGCTCATTTAACTAGTTTCCTTCAATC